TACAACATAATACTTTCATAATACTTTCAATTACCTTTAATTTTTTCATCGTTATTAGTTCAATTAGTGCTCTTCACTGTGCAATATCATAACAATTTGATTATTCAACAAGAATATTACATCGTCATGTATTCGGAGATCTATTTGACCTTGGATTTTTGACATCTGCAGTACTTCGGGGCACCATGCTACTTAGGTCTCGGGGCACTTTTAAACACACCGGTGGCCATCGTTGTGAGCAGCCTCGAAACCCCCTACGTCGACAATTTCATGGGGAACCCTTTCAATGTCGCCTTCTTCCCCGGAACATCGCTCGAGAACGTCGTGCTAAATACATTTTTTGATCGAGTTTCGAACCTGGTCATAAACTACAAAGACTCGCTGGTGTTTCAATACTACACGTCCGATCAAACTGATATAATGAGGAAATATTTGGGGTGGGACTTGCCAGACGTCAGACAATTGGAGAGAAACGTGACTTTGGCTCTGGTGAACTCGCACTACTCCTTTCACGGGATCCGATCGTTTGCCCCGGCGGTGATCGAGGTTGCAGGACTACACATTCAAGACGAAGAGATACCGTTGCCTCCAGTAAGTTTTTTTCGTAAAAAAAAAAATTCTCCTTTCACGTTTGTGAAATATTATTCAGTTTCGCCCTGTCGTTTATTAAATGGCTAATTATCTCATCACTTGCGCAACAAACGACGCAATGTTTCTATCAAGTATCGCTATAAAAACGGCTGCTTGAAAAATTTTCTTCGCAACTTAAGTGACAGAGAGTAATTCTACTCGCACTGTATTTTATTCGTTTTTCTTGCAATGAATGTTATCTTGACTATTCTTGTGAACAAGTGCAAGGTCGCTGTTATTTTCAATGTTGTAATTGCAATTTGTATTTTCTGATTAATTTTAGATCGTTAATTTGGAGATTTGGATAATCGTGACTCTCGGGCAATAAAATCATCGCATTTCCGTCTGATCGAAATTTCTATCAAATATACCTCTTACAAGGAGGTATTTGAAAATCTTGAAATTGAATCTCACCGTCCCGTCGGTATAGTCATTAGAAACATGCTGGTAACATTACTAATTACTATCCACAGACAAGGGTTAGTGATTAGAAATTACTTTGCTTGGATTAACAAAGCGTTAACGTCTCGAATCTTATTCTACAAGTCGTCAAGTTTCTGCTTCATGTTCTACTGAAAAGCCTATTCTCCAAAATCGTCATCATCCTTGCAATTCCGTTTCACGTTCTGCTTTAGATACTTAAGAATTGGCTGGACACAGCCGATCATGGATTAGTGTATTTCACGTTAGGTTCATTGATGAACATCGAAACCCTGCCACGAGACACGTTATTGGGCTTGTACGCGTCGTTCGGAAAAATTTCCCCGATCAGAGTGTTAATGAGAGTTGCCAACACGACGAAATTGCCTCCTGGATTGCCTGATAACGTGGTCGTATCGTCGTGGATCCCTCAAATTTCAGTGCTCAGTGAGTAAATGTTAATCCGCTTGGTTTTTTAATTTTTTTTGTTTTATATATATATATA